GATGAGGCAGGCTATGTTCATTTGCTGGGCGAAGAGAACATTCCTCTTGATGTGGAGCAGATGAAGGCTGAAATTTGCACTGACAGATTCTTCAGTAAGGTACACTTGTATGTCAAAGAGGGATGGGAAAATGTGGTGCCTAACGATTTAATAGCATATCCGCCGCAATCAAAAGAGATAAGCACTGAAAACTGCGTATTAATATGGGAGATAGTTTTAATTCCAGCATTTTTTATCACAGTCATCTAATCTTCGTTCACCTTAAGAATGATCCTGATGTTAACAAAGGAACACAGTGTTCATCCGCGAGTATGAGTACTTACCTCATTGGTCGATCGCTCGAGGCGCCTCCTTCAACGGTGCACGTGCTCACGAACTGTCAGAAGCGTCTGCGGCAACTTATCTTGCGATAAGAATACGTCTCCAATTTACATACATACATACATACATACACACACACGCACACGCACACACACAATTGATCGACACTACTGCATAGCAGATTCGCCCGGAAGCGGCCCAAATCACTTTCACAGAGCTCTCCGGCTGCAGCTTGAAAGTCTATTTGCTGCTGCTGTTGTCTGTGTTTATAACACATTCTTCTATTGCAACATCAACAATGACGTCTAATTTACACATTTTTGCTTTTGGTACATGTCTTATTGCACCCTGCCAGCGATTAGCTGTGATGTGAGTTGGCATTGCAGAATGTTTTCTCATCTTTTAGTTTAAACGTGTTTTTTCTCCTGGCCACTTCACCTTTTATTTGACTCCAAATTATTTCTATTGCATTCAATTGCCAATGGTATGGAGGTAGCCTTAAAACTCTATGACCACAATTTTTGGCCAACTCGTCTATAACATAAGTGTCCTCAACGTTGTATTTTGTTAAGTAATGTGTTTGTCAACAATGTTAAGTAATACTACTTTACTTATTGTGCTGTCTAAAGTTTCGGTCTTTGAATGCAGCCAGTCAATAATTCACTTCTTTCGCCATGATTTCTTCGGAAGCATATCAACTTTCGCACTGTGATAGGGAGAATTTTTCATAACTATAACACTGTTTGGTTTTAGTTTTGCCAAAATTTTTTCAACTATTCCCCGAACGTTTCCCCATTCATTTCTTCGTGATAAGTCACCCGTTTTCGTCGACTCGAAAACCATTGGGACGCATTCCACAAAATCATTTTCACTCCCATGTTAATAACAATTAGCCGTCAACCCCGAAAACGAGTGTTTTTAATTCTGATGAGAGCCCCTCTAGGAATGCCTGTCTTTTGTTTCTAATTTTTGGGTCAATCAAAATTTTCCCAGAAGTATGACCTTCGTGTACGCACGTTTTATGGAGGTAACACCGGTCAAATGTGAGGGTCAGTGTTGAGGTGGGTGGAAGTACACCATTCACTTTCCGCTGAATCCTGTGCACATCAGAAAGGAAAGGTTTTAGGTCTCCTTCGATTTCGGTAGCGAAATGGTCATGATTTACAATACCTATAAGCAGGTTAAATGTAAGGTGGGACGGCACTTGAACCTGGAGACCGGCTTTTTCCTTCACTTTCAAAACTGTCAATTTGATTGGGTGGCACTCAGAATCATTCCAGTGCGTTGACTAACCCGTACCAGAAACTTCCCTACTTCCTGTACGGCCATAAGATTTAATGATCATACGCTCGTTGTTTCTCTTTGCAATTCTTTACAAGAAAGCGGGGTTTTATTACCGTGTCATTTTCTCTGCGGAAGCTTTCTAGGTCTATATTCTTTTCATTTAATCTCATTTTCCTTTGTGAAAAGGGCGGGGGTTGGAAGTGTTTTTGAATCAAAGAGAAGGGATTCCAATCGGTCCCCGTGGTCCCCACCCACCACGGAGCCCAACCAGGGGACAGTAGTGCCGCTGGAGTGCCAGGACTGTCACGGGGATACACCAGGGAGTAGCATTTCTTTTTTTCGCGCGCCAAGGCAGCAGCCGATAAAGCATGCACAGATCCAACTCCCACGTCACCCACACGGGCCGCCATGCACGGCAAAACACATGAGTGAGCGTTCTGCATACACAGAAGGCCAATGAGGAAAAAGAGCGATACAAGATTGTAGGTGACATGAAATGAAAAACCGAGGATGAAAGATGGCAAAGGGAACACGTAAGACCCTTCTTTGCAGCCCCCCCCCCTGTCAGGTCGTGGACAAACCCACCCTTATGGGCCTAAATTTAACTTATGATGGAAAACAATATCAATATCAAAATAAAACAAAAATGACATCACCTTTGTAAGGAAAACATGCTTATCACATGCCAACAAGAAAAGTACGTACGATAAAGTAAAAGGAAAGAGGAAGGGTAAGAGAGAATAAATAGGAAACACCTATACACGATTACAAATTATTTAAATACTCAGTTTTCTTGCAGTCAATAATATATTTAATTAATATTTGTTTAAAATGACAATCTTGTACAAAGACAAATATGTTTAAACATTATTCTCAACATTAATACACAAGTCAGATTGAAAAAACTGACAGGTAATAAATATTTAATCTTTACACAAACATTAAAACTTAATTATAATTTTACATCATATTACTCTTGTACACTTCATGATTTATACATCTGAACAATTGCATTTTTTTTACTTTCAACAAATGTAAATCATAACATAAATGATATAAAAATATTAGAAACCATTGTAAATACATTTACCTAATTAGGACCCTTATATGCAGTGGAAAGTATTAATAAAAAAATAAAATAAAATATGTAGTAAAAATATATTCTGCTGTGTACACAATAAGAAAAATCAAACACGAATATAAAAACTCATTTAATTCAGTACAGCAAATTAAAACTAACTTCTATTTAGGGAACTTTTTTCTTCTCCTAAATTCTAATTATGATCAGAACTTGAGGCAGGCTTTAAAGAAAATGTGTATTAATTGTATTAGATCTGAAAGTATTAATTATAATTCTCATTTTCTGTTATTTTAATTTTCAAATATACAGATATTACATTATTAAATGTATTTAATTTTAATAACAAAGGAAGAAAATGGAGATGATCAAGATAGAAGCTACTTTAAGTGTTCAACTTTACCTTCATGAGCCTTGACCAGCCTTACACTTGCTATAAATTTCCCAAATGAAGAAAAAACATATAATTTTATTTCATAACAGTATTGTGGCCACATGCAACCAATGTAATGTCATTGGCAATAAAATTAGAAGAAAAAAAAAGGTTTATTTCATTTGACTAATCTTTGCAAATGGTCAAGTATCCTCACACACAAAAAATATTTATTAATTAAATAAGAATAATACCTAAAGAGATTAAAAAAACATTGAATTAAAGTTTTGAATGTAATTGATTGTAGGCAAGAATAACTTCAGCCTGTTTTTGTCCGGATTCAAATGCTCCATGAGTTGTTGAAAAGTGTGTTTCATGTGTTGCTTCACCAGCAAACAATAAGACAGGACGCTGCAAAACAAGAAATGAGGTAAAAATTAAAAAGTCTATTAATAATAATAATAATAATAATAATAATAATAATAATAATAATAAAGCCCGTGGCGACAGTTGTCGTCTGCGCCGAAGCTGTACATCCGAATAGGCGCGGTCGTATTTACGATTGCCCCTTCACCCTTCATCATCATATCACCTGATAATTCACAATTCAAGGCGTAACAACCTTGTTTAATCAATGGATACAGCCGAAAAAAAAAAACAACCGATCACCATGTGTAAAAACTTTTGCTTAATATAAAAGGCATTGTTTTTTAGTATATGATCTTTTGAATGCGCTCAGAAGAGCCAAAGAAAATTAAGAAGTCTTGCCGAGGGCTTATTACTCGATTTGAATTACGCGCGCTGCGCGTCACAATCCTGATCCATTACAAAGCGCGCGAACGATTCCCTTTGGACTAATTTGGGCTGATACTTTTTTTGCAAAAAAAAAAAAAAAAAAAAAAAAAAAAAAAAAAAAAAAAAAAAAAAAAAAAAAAGATAGTTTGAAATTTAATGTTATTTGTGCATGGCTGAAATTATTATTGTGTTTGTTTTCCAAAGTTGTAAATAATGCAAAAAAATAATGCAATCATTAAATTCATTAAATAAATAATATTGTACCCATAAGCACAGTTTTAACTTATGGAAAAAGATATCAGATGATTTTCCCATAACAGTCTGAATAATATTAAATATTAATCGTTAATTCCATAACAGTGATACAATCACCATGTAATTATTTTTTAAATATTTAATCTTACTTGTTCAGTAGAGAATGATGAATTAATGGGGCTTGTTTCAGCATACACAGGATCGGACAACGTTGATGGTCCCACTTTTGATACATCACATGATATTGATGTATTACTGTATGCTCCTCGAATATAAGGATTTCCATACCATGAAGTTCTTAAAAAGTGAATTATTAGATTATATTCAAGTAAAATAGCATTTTTCATGAATACGTATGCAACTGAAAAATCAAGTAAAGATTTTACCTGATCACTTTGTGAGGTTTAGGAATATTAGCTTGCTGTGTAAATGTTCTTAGAAGCTCTGTACAATGTATCGCAATTTCCGTTTCTGAGAAATTTTCTACAAGTTCTGCACCTCTACCTCCTACCCATCCTAATAGTACTGCTTTGTGATTAGGAAGTACATCAAAACCAGTCAAATCACGTGTCCAAGCAGCAGCCTGAAAATAAATCAATCCCCCTTAACAAAGACATCAAACAGAAATCTTCAAAAACTGATTTGCAATAATTTTTGAAAAAGTGAAATCATTTTTTCATTAAAAACGTTATTGAAACCGGAACCAAATGAAATGGTCTTCGTGTTTCATTTGAGCTTTCAAAAAGATCTTCATATTTTACTACAATTTGTTACATTTTCACGAGACTGAGTGGTTTTACAATAAAATCATAATATGAATTCTCATTGACCCTTCTGTCACTTACCTAGACTAATCTTATACGCAGAGCAGCAATAATTATCAAAGTTATTGCATGTAATAAAACTATTACACATTTGTTCGACATATTGAAGGGTTTGTTTCCTTTTTATTTTATTTTTCCAAGTTTACTTTGGTACCCTTGTCCACAATATCTTAGGAGACTCACGTTACATACTGCACATATGTATTTTGTTCGTATTGAAACGTTTCATGGTTCAAACATTTTAATAAAATATATTGTCTACGGTACCAGCAGCGTATAAGCGACTCTGACAGTTCCCTCACCACGTGCTGTCGTATTTAATTGAATTGAATATGTCTTATTTTACGTGACGAGACTCGGGCCATCAGGCCCGCTCTTCCGTCTGACCACGCAAATTTCGCTACGCTCCTTTCATATAGCAGAGAAAGAAGGTATTTCTTGGGCGAGAAACAGGCGATCTTGAATTTAGCTCAGAGGCGTCATTTAGGCTTGAGGATCTTTTAAATGCAAGTAAATCTACGAACATGGGACAGCCGGCTTTACTTCCCCTCCGAAGGCGTACAAAGGATTTTTTCGCCCTTAAAAATCCACGGCTTCGATCGGGTTTGAACCCGCCAACTTGGGTACAACAGTCTAACCGTCAACACGCTAACCGTTACACCATGGTATGTCATGTGACCTACTCTGATGCAATCGGTTTGCGAGGATTTGTTTACTTTTCCACATCCAGCGTTCAGTTGCCGCTCAGCTGACTCGAAGTCGCGGAGGCTACACGCTTCGACTGTTGCGAAGGTTTTGAACATGTTTGACGTGTCATAGCCCGTGCTACAGCAGATCTGTCAGTAAGTGTTAACGTTTTGAGATTTAATTTATCTGTGACGTCTGTGGTGCCATGTGGGTAGTAATGTGTCAACAGCGCACAAAACTGTCAAGAGTCGCTGATATGTTGCCGGTACTGTATTCACAATTTAACCATTAGCGTAAGTTTTCTCACGTGGAATCTACACCGCACGCAGGGTTGCCAGATCCGTCCTGTGATAATCCGAAGGAAGGTTAAAAATTAAAAAAAATGGTGAACGGTGAAAAAAAGCGCGCTCTGGCACGTGCTAGTAATATCAAAAGAGTTGCATTTGTACAAGATATTTAAAACTAAATACCCTTGTTGATAAATCCTACGTATCTTAAACCATCAATATTTATGCAATTTTTAGAAAAGAGTGGGCATGATTACATGCCTGTTTAAATAAAATTAAAAAAAAGCGAGCTCTGACATAATTTCATAATAGCTGCATATATGAGAGACTTCCAGAACTAAAACTTCTGTGCGAACGGCATATCTTTCAGAAAACATCAATATTTGCACACGTTTTAGGAAAAGGTGCTATTGATGATTTAAGCAAAACAAGTATTTCATTGCCCCAAAACCTCCCGGAAAACAACGAATGCATTTTCTTCCCGCAAGTCGAGTCGACAGCGTTGACAGATGACTACGCCAACTGCAACGTCATTTCAACATCTTTCATTATGAAGTAACCGATGCAAGAAACAACGGGTTTTTAAAGTTTTTTCAAATCGTTCTCCTTACGTATTGTGATTTTGTTTTTAAATGATCGGTTGTCGGTCGTGAAACAGAGTAAGACGATTTATATAACGCGCGGGTCACGTCCACCCGGCTGTAACCAGCGCCAAACGGAATACTAGAATACTGTTTCTCCGGAGGGCGCTCCTTTGACTGCATAAATCATGGCTTCAATTTCGCTGCAAAGATGAGGCGTTTCAGCCACTATGTAGTATATCTAGCTCGTTGATTAACAGTCTGTCAATAGACCAGAGGGTAAACAAATGCCAAGATTTCTGTGGATTGGATCACAGACTAAATTCCTTGCTTTAATACAAAGATAGGAAAATATTTGGAATCTGGAATTTTTAAAAAACTGCAACGTTTTGTTGTCAACTACCAAAACAAAATAATTATTAATAAGATATAAGTTTTTAATTTGTTGTCCCATACAATTCTATTTAAATGCTTTTCAGTCCCTTTTTTAATTTAGAACAACCACAATAAATGCCTCCAAAAGTTTTTTACATCATAATTTTATTTTGCTTATGGAAACGACGTCTGATTCGCGATAACTACTAATTTTTAGGGGAAAATATGACTTTTTAAAGAGCTAATTTTGTACAACAGACTTTGACGCAAAAATCACAATCTTCAAATTTGTAGTTTTAAAATTTCCTTCGCAATTTTCGAAAAATCAGGGATTTTGACGAAATTGACACTTGCTCCATTCTCCTAAACGCCCTTTGCACTATTAAAACAAAATTAAAAACTTTTTTTTAAATTGTCAGAGGAACTTCATGTCAAGTACCCCCCCCCCCCCAAAAAAAAATTAAAATATCGGTTTCAAATTCCAGGGACTGGGACACGAGCCAGAACGATAGGGGAATGTCAATTTTGGAGAAAATCCACTGAACGGTTTGTGCTCTAGCGTTGTGCACAGACGGACAGACAGATTGGTTTGTCGTCAATAGATTTTTCGGTATGAAAGACGCACAAAATATGGATTCTGGCTACACCACGTGCAAGAGGAATTTTGTTTCTATATTTAGCAACTGGATTTTTTCATTTAATAAGGCCGGCAATAAGAGTTTTTGTGTCGAAAATTCCCCGTTTTCCGGTGCACGATTACAATATGTTACTCTTTTTAAGTTAGTAAGGGCGAGAAAGTAAAATAAGCTTGATGTATTAACAAAAAATCATATTCAAGAAGAAATTAAATAAGAAATAGCGAGCCTGAAAAATCCAACGTGGTTTATATCCACATATTATCTGAACAATATTTTTGTCCACTTGATAGCTAGTGATTAACAGAGAGGGTGTTCCGTTACAGAATAATTGGCTTGAAATTGTGATATAACTGCAGAGTTGTCGATGCTTATTAAACAAAATTAAATTAAACAATTGACAGTGCCATTGTTTGGTTAAGTGATTCGTGTGTTCTCGTGTGTGATTCTGTACCTACTGTTTTGTGCTCTCTTGTTTCCTGCTTCTGCAGATGTGATCTGATGCAAGAATCATCACACGACCACGTCTACCGTCCGAGTAAGAGGCAACACCACTCAACCCCATCCCAGACTGTCAAGTAGACAACTATAATTTGGACTGTCGGACAATAGGCACTAAATTTAGAATATTCTCTGTGCTTTCCATTTTCATGTCATGAAAACAAGATTTTAGTTAATCAAAACCATATTTTTTATTAATAAAATATGCATGCTAACATTAAGATCAATTGTATAACAAAACAAGGTGTAATTTTATTACACTTCCGTTAATAATACTTATCTGATGAGATATATGCACGTAAAAAGAAAATTATAATTCTTACAGAAATATATAATATTGCATTACCTCTGAGTAATCCGACTCATTTGTATGGTTTTTCAACCAGATAAGCTGAAATCCTTTTGTGTCTTTGTCCCACCAAGGCTCCTCATAAGCCAAATAAATCTTGTTTATTGTTGCAAATCCTAAATCTTCTATGGCCTGAATCAAACATTTTCTTGTTACAAAAAGAATATTAGCACTACCAAAATTGAAATATAAATTATAGTAAATGCACAAAACCATTTCCAAAGTACAAACCTTACATATTTTATCAGGTAACTCAGGAGAAAACATTTTTTTGTAATTTTCTTTCAGATACCCTAAAGAACAAGTTATTATAACATGATCAGCATATACAGAGGTTCCATCTTCACAATCAATCTTCACCAAGCACTCAGTTTTGTCTTGATCATTTTTACTCTTTAAATGTATATTTCTATCACTGTTGTCTTTAATACAATCTGAATTCAAGTTACTTTTTTCACATTCTTCACCATTAAGATCATTTTTACTTTTTATTTTTTCTTCTGACTCTTTTTTACTAGAATTATCACTAACATTCTTCCAGGAAATTCTTTTAACTGGACATTGCAATTTTAATACCCCATGCGGAAGAGTTTCAACAATACTTCTGATTAAAGAACTGTAACCTCCTTTAAAATTTACATAATCTGTTCCTCCACAAAAATTATACTTTCCCCATGCTCTAGCAGAAAGTTTGTCCAAAACTGTACAAGAGTTATCAATAACTTGAAATCTGAAATTGGCAAAAAAACAGATGTCAGTGTTTTAGATATTACATTAACTGTTTATTTTCTATGTTTAATTCATTAGCTATAAATTTACAATTCTGTGCTTAAAGCAATTTCATTGAAGAAAATGAGAGTTTTTACAGCCTTGTACTTACCTGACATGCCAATCATATACTTCATATTTCATATTTTTCACATCCTCAGTATCACTGTCACAGTTCTCTAAATATTCAATAAATCTTTGTTTTAAGTGATGACCTATTGATTTTGGTACATCTTCATCAAAACTATTTCTATTCACTAATGATTCACACTCTTCCAAAATGTCACTTACAACACTATATACTTCATGAACAATACGAGGTTCTATTAGAACCCCATCCTCTCTAAGGTACAAGCCTGTGAAAGAACAAATTATGAATTGGCAAATTGATTTAAGGACTAAATGTTTCATTACAAGTAGATTTGTCTTGTTAAAATTTAAAGAAAGAAATTACAATTTACAATTTTAAAAACATAAAAGATATTTTAATATATATAATTTGTAAAATAACCAGAACTACCTACCTGCTTCGCTTGATTTAGCAAATTGAATAAAAATCTAACCATTCCAAGGGGTGGATGTTAGATTTAGATTTTCGTATGTAAACAATTTTGTTTCAGAAGATCTGATTCTTAGTTCAAACAGGACTATAAGTATCAATAGTGCACCCAAAAGGCAGGAGGGGGCTCCCCTCTCCAAGCTTATCATATACTTTAAAACTAGTGTAGCTATAGTAGCACATGCTTTCTGGCATTATTTCTAACTTTAGCAATTTTTGAAAATTCAGAGTAAAAATATAATGAGACCTGCACTATTCTTTTAAGTACACCTTGTTGTATCCATGGAAAAAATTGTGAGACATTTGTTAGCATTTTTTTGTAAAATTAATAATATAGATATGACGCAAAAACTACACATTAAAAAAAACCTTTCTTAAAGGTTTGACTTTTTGACCGATTTCATTTACGACAAAAATCTTTCTTCAATATTGTATTTTCACAATGTTATTTTTTTTTTGCAATTTGCGAAAATACAGAGCTTATTGGTAATGAGACCAGTACAATTTGTCTACCATTCTTTGAAACATACAAAAATTAAATTTAACAAAAAAATTGAGAAGTTTTTGAGAAAATAATTTCTCAAAGACAGCAAACACCCTTCTGTGCCACAGGTGGCCTTTCTACCAAAGAGCGGTCAAGGCAATATTGGACAGACCATGAAAATCGTTAAAATAAATCTGAACCACTACGCTCCGGATATCCTAGCACAGTGTGAGAGGGAATGGAATACTGATGTTGCGATTCTTTGCGAAAAATATCAGTGGCGGTTGCTCTTCAAGGACTCTAGGGTGGCGCCCTCCCTTCAAAGTTGTTGTATGTTGAGATGGTGGCGGCAATAAGATACAGTTGTTTTATTTAGTCTAGCTGGTGTTTCCAAATAAACCTTTCAGAAATGATTTGAAACCTATTAGATAATTCACATTTGTTGCAGTTTTCTCTCGTAACCCAAGAGAACCACTGCTGACAGTAGCGTGATTTGTACAGCGTAACTCCTAGACCGAGAGCCAGTAGTTCCATTTGCAATGAATTTTGCAGCAGTTTGTTTTGTTTACTCTTCAGAATGCCCTGCGAGGATTGCTATAAACCTTTTAATATCATCTGATCCTTAAAAAAATTTACTGCATATTGAATAAAAGAAAAAGGTTCATTAACCATAGGACTTCAATAACTTAAAGAAAACTATGCCTGTGAAAGTTTTTCCATAACAGCCTTTACTAATTTAAACTTCTTTACATTCAAAAGTTGGGCGGGTCAATATAAAAAGCGGTGTCAAATTAAAAAAGACAGTAATTAATTAACTTAATATTACAAATCATAAAATATTAGTATTTAATTAGTTTATTAGTATTTAAGTGTTTTATTTCATTGTATGTATTAAGTGTTTATAATGGTATAAGATGTACTATAACAAACCAATAAACAAAATGAATTCTGAATACAGATGGAAATACGCATTTTTGCAAAGAATTGATATTATTTGCTAAGAGAATGCACATAGTTTTGACAATGCTGCACTGGCAACAGCACTTCTATATAAATTGTTGCAAATAGGGAATGAAATGTATTCTGTTTGTTTCATTTGTCAAAGTAAGAAATGATTACTGCTCCTGACTACTGAAATTAATGTAGATATGTATCACAGGCCCTTGGTTTGAATTGAAGGTTTTCAAGTAATAGCTGAGGTGTCAGTACCACAGAAAATGCAATATTTCAAAATTATGTAGCAGTTTCCAATAACACAAGAAAGCACATGCTGTTGTAGCACCATTATTTTATTTCTGTATTAATTTTTCTTTATAAACAAATATATTAATTTCTTTTGTAAATAATAAACAATTTACATTTTTCTGGAGTATTTATATGTTTCTGAAATGGAAACTTTTGTATAGAAAGACTTTTTTCAAATCAACTTTTGAGTTCTTATTGTGACTCAGCCGTTCAAAATCTCTAAGTAGTTTACTAGACAAAATATGCTTACAATTGACTCAAGAGTTTATTTTTTAAGTTTTGTTGTTTCCTCCATGGACACCTGTATGTAGCACTAAATACACAAGAAAGTAAAAATCTAAGAATTTAACAATGTTTTTGGTTTACTCTGTTAAAGAATTAAATGTAAAAATGTGCTTATAATATATTTCCATGCAATACATTTTTTTTTGAAAGTGTTAATTAGGTACATTTTAGTTGCCCATATACCAACCATTAAACATGGTTTCTTCTAGTATCTGTATTCACAGATTCTTAACTATTACCCTCACACTTAAGAGAAACCCTTAAGAGCAAAACATATTTTAAGAAAAAAACAAAAATTATTGTGTTGTCTTCAAGCAAAATTTACAAATCAACTTACAATTAACTTTAGGCTTTTGAGAAATGAAATAATATTTTACCTTCTCCTTCTGCAGATATTACATCTGACAAAAGGCCGAATTGGTTGGCAAGTCTCCATACAGCGCTATTCTGTCCATGAATCCACTGAGCACCAGCTTCTAACCATCCATTTTCATATGGTAGTGATAGAATCCGCCCTCCTGGTCTATCTTGAGCTACAACACATCAGAATTAATTAAATTAATAATTAAACATAAAGGAATAATGTGAAATGATGGTGATGAGATTAATCCCAGGGAGAGGAAGAGAGGACGCAGAGAAGGGACCACGGAGAGAGAGAGGGAGAGGGGAGAGGAAGGAGGGAGAGGGGAGAGGAGAGAGAAAGAGCATCACAATACCTTCTAGTAATAGTATTTTATTGAATCCTCCTTCCAACAATGTCTTTGCTGCAGCCAATCCCGAAATTCCTGCACCAATAATAACTGCTTTGTAGGTGTTGAACTGCCTGGAAAATCGAGATATTTATATAATAAATGCCAATAATTTTTTATTTTCAACACTTCAGGATCATTTTAAGAGCAACACTACCTTCATGGTTTATTCCAATCCATTTCAGTTGAGTGTGTAAAAGTACTTCTAATAAACTTAAATTCTCCAAACTCTTTCCACATACTCATACTCATGACCAGTGGTGAAAGAATTAAATCTGAATTCAGAGTGTTTGAGACACACTTTCCTAGACTCCAAACATGAACTTCATGATGCTATGGAGAAACATCTTTTTCTTAATTTATATAATCTAAGTTCAAGAACTCTTAGAGGTACATTTTTCTCATTTTACAAATAAGCTTAAGACATCAGAGAAGAGTATTGAGAGATTGATGTACAATAGGAGTAATCAACTGTTCCCTTTCTGTATCTTTTAAAATTAAAAGATTGTTAATGGTCTGAACGCAAAGGTCAAACAAATAATAAACATTTTTACTAATATTTTCAACAGCATTCAAGTTCCTTTTTCTAGATGGTTTATGATAATAAAAAAATAACAACCAACAGCAGTAAAATCTTTTATTATCCTCTACAAATAGCAATTATGCGAGTTCCAAAAAGCATTTGTAAATACTTCCAGTAGTATCCAAAGCTTCCAGTCTTCAATGTGAATATAATACAAAAATATTGAAGCCATAAAAAATAACTCCATCGTATCACAGAAGAAAAATATTTTTCCAAATTTGTACCCTAGGCAAAAAGAATATTTAAAAAAAAAAACCCTGTTCCAAAAAATTATCACAGAATATAAAACATGTATTGTTTAGTGTTGAAATATTAAATACAAAAAAAAAACAAAAAAAAAACCATCAAAAAACAAACATGTACAATATTGACTTTTCATTATATATTTACGTGAAAATGCTGATCTTCAATATAAAACTACATTACTAAATACTACAATGAATTGCCTTTCCTCAGAAGTATAAGAAATATTCTAATACATTAGGTCAAACCAAAAAAGCACTCATACTGAAGAATATATAATGAGGAAAGTTATTAATATTGTGCATTAAAATTATGATGAATAATTTAAAAATTATAACTAACTTGTGGCATTACAATATATAATAATATAATTTTCAATTATATAATTGTTTTCAATAACACTGGAACAATTAACAATATACAGATTTACTAAACTACCAAAACAAAAATTTGGCACTGTTCACTTTTATGGCATCAATAATTGAATAAAAGTTTCACATTACTATACCTTTTTAAGAACACATCCCACATAATATATAGTATATTTCCAAACAAATACAAACTGATAATGCCCGAAATTCTTAGCATGAAATGTTAAAAAATGTATTACTATATAGAAAGACCATATACTTCATGCAATGTTTTAAAACTTGCTTGTTTTAAATGTTCCTTTCAGTCATGCAGGGTAGAACCAGCCAGGGACACAACTTATTTCAGCTGCACCATTTTTCCCATCACAGAGATGATTTGAGAGCCCTAAAGGGAATTAATTTCATGAGAGTGTGCTAGTTAATGATCATTAATTTTGGGGGGATAAATATAGTTCAAGTGTTGAGCATTTTCATTGTAATATGATTTGATTATTAATTGCATTATATATTGGAGGACAATTACAAAACAAATTTGCCCAGAGCTGAAAAATTTCGTATTTTGGATCAAATAGAAAAATGTTAAGCTTTTGTGCAAGGAAAAAATTTCAATTGAAATGTTCCAAATTCAAAGAATTTCTTCTCATTTTTCGTTGTCTATTCAAGTGTGGCTAGATGCCCAGAATCATTTTGGCAGTATTGAAATCACTGACTCTCAACCTTGTTTTTTGTCTCTCCTAGACAATGCTTTTTAGGTCTCTATAAACTTTCAAGTTGGTGAATCTAAAATTTACAGAGCTCTCAGACACCATCTGAGAATCCTACTTTACTACTGAATTATAAGTACAATCTTATTCTGAGAAAGAACAAACAGGCTGAGAATGAGGAAAAGAGGGAGGAAGGAAACTTGCCATGGGGAGTTTGCAAGGTCCTTGTACTAACACCAAATCATATTCGAGATATGTGATTTGATCTCCAAAGCTCTCTCTGTGTTTGTGCATCAACATAATGTCAATTCAATACAAACAAGCAATTGAAAATACATTCATTGCCTGCCAGAGATTTCCTGATTCCCTGGTAAACAAGTGCTTGTTTCCATCCACTCTCAAACAAAGAAAGGTGCAAAGACGCAATATGTGAAACAATAAATCACTATGACAAAGAAAAGAATCTATGAGAAAGGGATTTAAACTTACATGCATGCACACAAAATTCACAAGCATTAATTGAAATGTTTAAGACAGAAATACTGTAATATTCTATGAATATATCATCACTTACCGATAGTGTTTTAAGAGTCTGTCAGCTTCTCTCCAACCTGTTTCAATTGCACCATGTACTGTAGAATAATAATGATCATGACTTGCCTCTCCAGCAAAAAGTAAAACCTAACAAGCACACACACACAAAAATTAATATACAATACAAGGCACCAGAAAAAGTAAATTTAATAACACAGCAGAAAGTAAAAAATCTAGGCAGAACAAAAGCAAAACATAAATGTTAACAAACATTAACTAGTGGTGCTACACCAGCATTCTTTCTTTTGTTATTTGTACTCATAACTCAAAATTTCACGAAAAAAAAACTAACAATTTTACAGGACCCTATTTAAAGAACCAATTTGGAAGAAAACAATTCAACAACAAACACACAAACAAAAAATAATCTTCAATATTGTAGTTGCAAAAAATTTTAAAACTTTTGTGGTATTCAAAATTTTAAAGCATTCAATGAAAATTGAAAAAGTGCTGTTTCATAAATACTTTGCTCTTTTCAAGGAAAGGAAAAAAGAATGAGAAAAAAATATTAATAAAAGTAAATAAATAAATAAATAAAAATAAAATAAAAAAAAGACCCCCCCTTACAAATGGTTTAGGTGCTAGTGTTACTCACAAATGGACAAACACATTTTGAAATAAACCAATTATTTTTTAGGTATCAAGAACTGACAAAACCTGCATTCTGATTACACCGTCTATTAGATGAAGTAATTTACTACACATATGGGTAAGAATAATCATTTTCAATAACAGGAACCTACAATACAAGATTTTTGTTAAAAATCCCCAATTTTTATGGCAGTTTTACTTTGTTTACTATGGCATGGTTACTATCAAGTATGTAGGATGTAATAAATTAAGAACAATACAAAGAACAAAAACATCATTCAAGTGTAATCACATCACAATTAATTTAAATTGCACATGAATTTGAAAAAAATTAATGTCACAAAAATCAAACCTCTTTTCCAGATGAATTTAGCACTGGTCGGGCAAGTTGGGATGCAGTAGCATGCAATCTATCTGATTCCATGCTACGGAAACTATAAGAACCATGAAAATGGGGATTCGACATCCATGTTGACCTAAACATACAAAAAATTCATAGAAAAACAAACAAATTCATTATTGTAAAATTAAAACAATTTTGTGGTAAAGAAATTTGACGCACTATGATTACCTTTTGATTTCATCTGGTTGAGGTATATTATACTGCTTTCCTAAATACTTATTCAGAAGTTCCATCAAATCTTGGGCAACTTCACTTTCAGTAAGTTGTTCCATGTGCTTTCCTTGTGATCCCACAGCCCAAGTATACAATACCAAAGGTTGATTATCCAAAGCCCAGAACCCAAATACACCCTCCAACCAACTTTTGTCGCGGGTTTGCTATGAAGGTACACAAACATTAAACAATGCTTTTTCTTTTGAAACATGTATTTTTAAGTATATGCTCCTTACATTTTTGCAACTACTCAAGAAATTCTTCTTATCTTCCTCAGACCACAATAAGTTAAATCCTTGGATATCAGTAGGCCACCATCGGTAAGGAAACTTCAAAAATATTTTGTTGACTGTGCCAATTGAGAGACCCTGAAATGATGACTAAGTTTGTTTAAAAGTAATCACGATTTTTTTGGAAGGCCGTGACAACTGATCACAAATTAAAATTTTGTTGAAATGGTTTTCTGTTCCTGCTTCTACTTTCGTCATACTAATGTCTATTCATAGTAATTACATACAAGAAAATAATTTACAATCTTATTTTAGAAAATTTACTAAGCAACCTAGATCACTACTTGTACAAACCTTTTCATGAGAGGTACACAAATGAATATCTGAATATGAACAACCTATCCAACAATACATGAAATATTGTTTGTTGGAAAATTATAAACATACCTTTATTGAAACCAACTTTTCTTCAGGTAGAGGTGGAGAAAATAATGAATTTGCCATTTCTTTCAAAACTCCTAGAGATACAGTAACTACAACATGATCAGCTACATATGAAGATCCATCAGAACAGAGAACAACAACTTTGCCTTCTTTATCACCTATTAAATGATCCCATGTGATGTTCTTTACTTGTTTATTGAGATGAATCTTGGCTAGGAGAGGTGGATCTTTTTTTTCTGTGAGGTCTTTCTTCTAAAGAACAAAATAAACAAAATTGCATTTACTCAAAGGACGAGATGAAGAAATATTACACCTGAATACTACATCCTTATCCTGTCAACTAGATTATAAGTATTAAATTTAACATGGAATTTGTTTATTATTTTATAAAATAATTAATTCAGTAACAAACACTTTCTGGCCATAAGCCAGAAAGCTGTAGTGACAACCACTTTGGATAAGGATGGTGGGCAGGAACATAACAACCTACAAGAGGTTTATTTTGCACAAACGACAATGCTACCATCATTAATAAATAAAGCTAAAACTAAATTTTGTATAAAACTTTGTTTTACGAACTTCTTGACCTCATTATCTCAAGAGAAACACACCAAGACCAAAACTTTTGATGCCCCAGGGATACGCAATGTCAAACCACCTCATATTGCACATCTAAGCCTTTGCCCAGGAAATCGAAGCGTTAGTTCTTTGTATTAGATTGTCAGTATCCAATATTGGGGACAATAGTACAACAGGATATAAATGTATTTTAATTTTCAGAGAAAATGGTCTATTTTAAATGATTCTCAGTATTGTAACAATGTTTTAAAACAATCTAGAAAAGGAAAAGAAATTAAAGATCACTATAAGACCTTCTCCAACTGGTCAATTACAATATTGATTATTAGATTTATTAATAATTTTGCAATTAAGTTTGAGAACTTGGTGGCAGAATACACTAACTTAACATTTCTGAACTTAACAACTTTACAAAATCTACAAACTTTACAAATTAACGTGAACATTTCACCATGCAACTTTTCATAGCACTCCACTTCACTGCACTGCGAAACACCGAGCGGTAATGTCTTTCTTACACAGTCGTTTCCCTCAGTTTCACAATGTCACTGCACTTCACGCCACTGCACTGCACATAATTATTAGTAAATAATAATAATAATAATAATAATAATAATAATAATAATAATAATAATTACATAGAAGACATAGTTTCTTAGACTGAATTTTATTAAATAATATT